AATCTGTCCTTTGTAACACCATGAGTCATTTCTCTTCTGGCCGAGAAGGTTTCTCTCAGTGAGGCTCTCCGGGGGGATTTCCAGGAACAGGCCATGCCTCCTGAACCCCTCAGGCAGCCAAGGGAAACCACAGCAGGCGACTGCCCAGTCATAAAAAAAGACAGAGATCCCTGAAATTTGCAGTGACTGCAATCCATGCCAGTCTCTGGCTTACAAACGTCTCAGAGTTGCAGATCTCCCCATTTAATGGACGTAGTAATGAGAGAGCAGAAATAAGCAAATGTAACTGACAAAAAGCAGCCAACAATACACTGGAAAAACTCATCAGTAGCTCCTGAATACCAACCCCTGCCTCCGCCCCGCCACTTTTATTCACTGTATGTTCATCCTGTACTTTGGGAAAACAGAGAATTTTACTGATTCAGTTCTTAAGAGCCACTTTTAATCTGATTCATTACAATATGATGTGTTTTAGGTGTTTTCTCTCCTCATTTCCAAGACTCAGCCTTACTGATGGTCAAGATAGGCCTGAATTTCAGAGATGCTGCCTACTCCTGGATCCTGCTGTCATGAAAATAAGGGTGGCCCTTGAAAACATGCCCAGCTAAGATTCTGTCACATGAAGTTTGTGGTATTTTAAAACAAAGGAAGGTGGTTTGATTTATCTCCGGCTGACATTGTGTCAGGAAATAGTCACGGCCATGCCTTGGCACAGCTTTCTGTTGAAACGGCCTCTGTCTCAAAACAAGAAGTTTGGCACTACACAGGGTTGTGGTCTTTGGACAGGCATAAGGACCTAACACTGCAAAGAACAAAAAACAGCGTCTCAGTAGACACACAGAAGCTATTGCAATAGGATGAATTTTCTATGTCCTACCAGAAATACCTGCAGTTTCCACTTCCAGAGGGGCAGGACCACAGCTCTGTGCAGAACGTACTTTTTGTTATAACAAAAATAATTGTTTCCCAGCCCTACTGATTACCACCCTTTTCCCTCTCCATGGTGACTTCCCAATTAGTAGCACCACTTACTAGGTTATCTCTCAGTTCAAAAGTCATCAGACACGGCAAATATATAGCGTCTTTGTTGTGTTGCCAGATGGAAAGTCATCCTTTCGTGAGGCAGAAACTGAAATATGTCTAGACTGACACAAGTCATATAACCCTGCAGAGCCATCAGAGATCATAATTTTGTGCCAACTGATGACCCAGTTGAGGTCTGAACAGTCAGTCTAGTTACAAAGTGCTTTGTCTGCCATGGCCCTTTATCTAGTATTGTCGGATCCTTCCTGCCCAAGTATTTTGATGCCTATAAAGGACTCACTAAATACATACACAAAATACAACCCTATGCAGACAGAAAAGCTATCAGCAACTGGAAATACAAGTAGAGACTGCAGGAGGACCTCAGCAATCAAAGCATTTCTAATAAGGCCTGGGGAGAGGGAGAAGTTTTAGTCTTGCCAGCTTGGCCATGTTTCATGGAATGAAAGAACTTACCAGAAACAAATAAAAGATTGCTTGTATCACCATTATTATCACCCTGCTAAAGCAAAAGCATTTCCTGTCTGGAATTATTGTTGCTGCCTCCTTCCTGCCATCGCTAACGCATTTATAACCTGGTATGTGCCTACAAAGTTATAAACTCATACGAGTCATCCACAGCACTCCCTTCCCCTGCCACAGCAGAGCAGAATACACCAGCAAGGAAGATGTCATTTTAAGGTCTCCCTCAGAGACTGTGTAATGTGCCTGACTTTGGGGTATTCAACCAGATCCTCTCTCATAAAACCAGCCTCTGGCACATTCACCGACGTGCTGGTGCCAGGCCATGAGGCTGCTGGGAATACATTTTTGCCTTCCCAAGAATAAAGCATTTCCTGCCAACAAGCTCATTTATGGATGTGTCAAACTCAAGAAAAAAAACTCAAGAGGCTTCAAGTCCATTGAAACATTCCATCAAGAAAGGAGAGAAGGGAAAACAAAATTGCTGAAGATTCTGGCAGAAAGTATTTATGCTTGGCTGGAACAGGACGTGTCTCTAAATAAGTGGCCTTAGCCTGCAATACCAGAAATTTGGTAACCTACATGTAACTGTTACAACATGGAACCTGAAGACAATTTACGTTTCTACTAGTTAGCACAGTGGTCATGGGAAAGAAAAGCGATTTCTTTGAGAAGCCCATACGATGGGTTTTAATGCTGAACACCGCTGAGTCCTACTACAACAGATATGTTATGAAACAACAAATAAAGAATTGCTTCTGCCTTGAATTTCTGCTGATGGATACTACCAATGACAACTTGGGGAGCTTCACAACATGCTGCGGGATTCCAGATTTATAAGAAAATCCACATCTGCAGAGAGAAGATAGGCTACCTCTATGGATGAGACTGTTCTGCTGCAAAGCGGTTTGCAGACTATGAACAAATAAATGCTTCCAAACCACACCAAAATCCAAACCGTAACTGCGTCCTGCTGTTTTATTTGAGTTTCACTCTATTTCAATTAACTGAAAAGAACCTGACAGTTCTGCAGCAACAGAAGGACAGAATGGGAAAGCAGCAGAGGAGGGAGCTGCCAGGCCTTTTGTCTCTGTGACGACAGGATGGGGAGGGGGCAGCAAGCAGGGCTGCTGATGGATGTCACATCCTCTGACAAAACAGAAAGGCTCAAAAGAAAATGGATTTTTGCCTCTCTCCTTGCAGCTGCTGTCCCCTGCACCAGTATCTACTGCCTGGAGTAACAACAGATAGGTCCAATTGCTGGATGTGTGCACTAATTGCAACCAGCACTGAAATAGTCCTGGACACTGGCATTTAAATATTGCCTCTAGACCACAGATTCAGTGTGTGATATTCACTCGTTTCACACCTCCTTCCCGCTCCCCAGTAAACACAGTCGCTAGGCAAAATATTTTTTATTTTGAATTCTGGTCCTACTTCTTTGGTGGGTGAGGAGGGTGCTAGGGGGAGCCACCAGGATCTCTCCTGGTTCACACACAGTGCTAGCACTTGTTTTCCCATACGAGAGGGAAGAACACTGAGGCATCGGCACATGTGAAGTGCAAAGAGTTAAATCCACTTTGTCCCAAAAGATATCACAGTCACTTCAGACCACTCTGCTGTTGCAGCACGTGCAGAGAAGAAAACACACTTTGATTATTTTTAAAACTCTTTTGTGGATCCATGACGGTATACATTTCATTTTCCTATCTCAGGCTCCATTTATCCAGGGTGGCAGTTAAGAAGCGCTGGTACATTTTAGCATAGCTGTGGCTAAACAGGTTGCTGTAAGCTTTCTCCATGTGCTGGGCAGACCTTCTACCGACTTTCAGAGAGAAGACTTCAGGATAAGGAGACTAAGCATTCAGTTTGATTTGGCTGCCACACTGATTAGGGAGAAAAATACCCTGTCCACACAGCTCACGGGAACTGTGCCTGAACCCCACTGGCAGTAGCAATCACATTTAGTACAGTCGTATTTCCATTACACAGAGAGTCTTCGCTCCAAAATTTATGTACAGTTTAATCCGATTATTTTTCTTCCCCATTTCTGCCTGACAAACTGTACTTGCTAGGCCCCTGGCTGGAAATCCATGCTAATCAACTTAAGGCCTAGTAGATAAAGCAAATTTTTTTTCTCTGTGTTGTCAGCAAACCACATTTCATGACTATGCTCAAGCCTCCGCTAACTTAAGGTCACTGGCATCTTCTTGAAATCCAGGAGCAAATAACAAGAACAGGAAAAAGCTGCAGCTTGAGTGAAGACAGAAAATGCCAGTGGTGCTGCTCACACTGGGACTGGAATGTGGGGGGTATGGGGGAGGCCAATGGCTCTATGGAACGTTTATGCAAATGACTTTGTTGATGGGTTTTATCCGCCCACACACAAATGACAGTTTTCATTATTTTAACCACAGAAATTTGTTTCCTGCATCAAGCAAACTAAATACTCAGCAACTTCCAGACTAATAAGCAAATGGTATGAGATATATTGATTCTGCAGCGGTAACGATCTTACATTTTTACATAATGCCTTTCAGGCTTAAGTGTCCCTAGGCACACTACAGGTTGCACCTATGAAGAAAGCACTTCAGGAATGAAACACCACAGCTGCCTGAGAGGACATTCCACCATTAAAGAGGGTGCGAACTTCAAAAAAGCAAAACACACTCTTCCCTGCCAAAATTCTTAGTAGCATTTTGGACAGGTTCTAAATACAATAACCAGAGTAGATATTAGGTAGTCATGTCTTAGAAAAGGCGGAACAAGTACTGAAACAACTATTGAAACAGTGAGTATCTTTGTCATGAATTTTACCACACAGCTGGTGCAGTGAAAACTGCTGCACAAACAAGTATCTAGTTAATGTATAACTGTACTGAAAGCTTTGGCTTAAAACCTGGCTGTTGATAAAAGCAGTTTGTCAAGACATCAATTTTCTCTCTCGTTGGAAAACTAATGCTTCTCATAACAATGTCATTCGTAATTGAACTGTGGCTCTACTTACATACTTGGGAGGCAAATGCAGAATCTGAGTCATGAAAATCACTGCCATTCCCACTCCTGTAACTCCTACCCAAGTTCTAATCTGTGACAAACCTTCTTAACCGAAGATCACACTTCAAATCCTGTCTTCACTAAAGGTTTTCTGCACACCCTCAAGCAAGTCACGTCACTGTTTTGTGTCTCATATTCTTGCCTGAATATGGACATTCCTGACATTATGAGGGTTTCTTAGGAATACACTTAATCTGAATTTAGAGAACCTCAAGGAGAATGGAGCTGAGCACCACGTGAGGACCTCCATCAGCTGAAGAACAACAACAAAAGAGAGGGGAAGGTTAGAAGAACTTCAATCCTTTTCCTTCCCACAGAAAAAAATCAGTGTTCTCTCTTAAAATCACTTGAGAAGAAGGTAAGAGCGAAGGCTCAGAACAAAACCTCTCCCTGGACCTAAAGAACAAGTCGCGTCTCTGGGGAAGGAAGCTGCTTACCGCCGCAGTGCGTTTGTCAGTTCAGCAGTCAGTTCACTCTCGTTGTACGGTCTCAGCTCAGCTAGTGTTAACGGTGTTGCGGTGCCATCACTGCATTCCTGAGAAATGAGAAAAGGCCATTTGATTTGAAGTTGCCATCTTAATGGGAAAACTCTGAAAACCTCTTAGTTCGCAGATACTTTCAAAATGGAGGTGAAATAAACATCACAATGTCACAACAACATGGCAGTGTATCAACATACCAAGAAAGGGACTAATGGATTAACACTTCACAAACCCTTCTAAATGTTTCCTAAACCATCACAGCTGGTAGTTTAGGAAATTTGCAGAATTCTGTGTAGTGTGCATAACTGCTGGTGCCTTATATTACTTTTGACACCGCACTTAAAAGAAAGAAGCACCGGATGAAACAATTCAGATGATGCTTTGACAGAAACAAATAAGAAAGACACAGTTATACACTAGCTCTGGATTTTGTTTTCAAACATATTACTGAGGTTTTCTGGAGACACAGCACCAAACAAAGAGGATTAAAGTTTTTCTAGGTAGCACTACTTCTTCATGCAAATTATTAATGTAAATGCAGAAATCTGTTCATTTTGCTTTATACTAAGGGGGGGGAAAGTCTTTATTCTTAAATCATTACAAACTGTCTGACTTGAAAAAGAGACTGTCATTACAATGCTCTAGCTGCTTCATAGGAATGAGCTCTATTTTTTTCATATTTTGTGTTTGGACTAGGGAGAGGATGGTGTTTTGCTTATGTTATCTTCCACTGTCTCCAGTGAGTGGCAACAGGCAAGAGACAACATGTCCAACCACAGCAGCTTGTATGTTTGGCAAGAATGGCTTAGTTGTACTCCTACCCAAAACGACAACCTTATTTTAGCCCAGGCTTAACAGTAATTCTACAAAGTCCTCATAAGTCACAGCATGGAAAGAACCACCTAACAACTGCAGAAGACAGAAAAGACATACATATAAGACGAAAGAGGAAAATTATTAATATGCTAACGACTGCTATAGGGAGGGGTACAATAAATCATGTTTATGCCGATTTTGGAAACTTGTTTGACTCTTGACCTTGCCCAATTTGTCTTTGCTTCCGCTGCTGGTTGAGCTGAGAGACCTCATTCTCTGCTCTTTTTGCTCTTCCACTTCAGACTTCAAGTGCTCAATATGGACAAGGTAGGCCTGCTCCTGCGCCTCTCGAGTGCTCAGTTTCAATTCCAATGCCTTCTTCTCCTTCTCTAGCAGGTAAAGCTGTGCCTTGAGCTCTGCCATCTCCTCCTGTTGAAGAAACATTATCAGCATGGTGCTTCCTGGGACTACATACCTAAAGGAAGATGAGGTTAAACAAGGTTTTCATCCACTCCTATTACTTGAGTGTTCTTTCCGTGAAGAACATTATCAGCATCCGGGAGGCTTTTTATTACCACACAGTGTTATTTGTCAAAAGACCAGTACATTTTTGAGACTGAGTACAACAAGCTGTTGCACCCCTTAATCAGCCTCAGAAATAAGCTCAGAGGCAGCAGAGCAGTTAATGTGGTGCTGAAACTACAGGATCGGGGATCTGAGAGGGTCGCCACAGTTGCTGAAACTTCTTTGGTTCTACCTTGCCTTTCAGAGACCATTGCCCTAAAACCAGGAATATCTGACTTTCTTGTCAAACAGCTCCCTAAATGCCAGATTCCAGTTTCTTAGTGATACATAAGAATTAAGAGTTGGGTTTATCTCATTACAGTGGAATAGGTTTGAAGCACTAGGACAGCAAACGCAGATCATATATTCCTGCCTCATAATACCAGACTCTGTGGTAGAATAAGTCAGTCAAAAAGGGCAACTGGCTATGGCGCTATCAGATGTCCATTTTTAATTTCCCTCCTCTTGATGGTCAGAATCCCAAATATACACAACTGGAGGTTGACAAAATTGCACTCGATTATATTCTTCCATAAATATGATCCACACAAGATGGACACTGGTATTTCATAGAAAGAAACTGAATTCTGAGAGCTACTTCTTGTAATTCCTCTGCCACTCTGGTATTTATGACAGGGCTGTCAACTATTGTAACACAACTGCTATTTGGGGACAGATCTCCGCTTTCACATCTGCTCTGACAGCGGCTGGGAAGAAGTGCAAGAATAAGGTACGACTGCAAGTGACCCTTCTTTCAGCACTTGCTCCCAGCCTCCCACAAAAAGCAGCTGATGGGTATCCTGAACCAGAAGGCTCTTTGTGTTTAACACTTCAGAAGTTTCTTCCATAAAATGTCTAGTTATTTTCTGAACCCAGGAAAACCCAGCACCCACAAAACACTTAAAAGAGAGAGTCCTAAAACATAACACATAACATTATGTGTTAAAAAAACACCATCAAACAAACAAAAGGCCACAACAAAAAAAATCCAACCCAGAATCATGCCCTCACTGCAGAGCTTGCCATGCTCTAGGTCACCTCATGGGTGAATACTGAGTTCATGCAGCCATTTTCTGTATTACAGTTCAGTTCTAGACTTGTTCACTATGTAAACATCTCTGAAAGACAGAAGTTTCTTGTTGTGTGGCCAGCCTTGGAACAAATCACTATCTTTTAATTATTTTTTTTTTTTTTTAAAACAGAAGAACATATTCTAGTCACAAAAATATCAGAGGTATCTTACCTTATCCTTCAAAAATAATGCTCGTTGTATCATATCCATCACTATCAAAGATTATACAAACACAAATCCTGGCACATAATTAGACTCACTTTTTCTGTAGCTGAGAGTCTACATTCCTAACAAAAAAATGCTGTCTGGATTAAGAGTAAGCAGTGCACACAGGTGTAGCACAGTTACAACCAGCATATAGTAATCACAGGTAATCATTGGCTTATTCAGAATCACCAACCATGCAAAAATAAAATCCATATCCTTAAACCCTTCAGGCTTGGAAAGGTTCGTATGAGCTTTAAAATCATTCATTTATTCATCTACTTGTTTGTGAACTGAAGGTCAGAAGCACCATCAGTTTCATTCAATGTGGTTTAAAGAAATTTAGTTGTTGGGCAAACTCACCATCAATTTCCTTTGTCAACAGTAAAAATGTAAATAATACTGATAAATAATGATGGGGAAATTTAGTTATAGGAGTTGAACTGGACTGCCTGGTATACTTAAGTGTATGCATTTAGCTTCTCTGTTTCTAAAGCCATTAATCTACTTAGCCTGCTTAGCGAAGGCTGAGAAGTAATTTGAGCAGAGTATTTTGGCACTTATGTGAATAGAAGATACTCTTGACAGAGGGCTACCTATGTGGGAGGGTCATGACAAAAATCTTCCCAGCATCGAAGTTGAAACTAGGCAAATTCAGCCTAGAAATAAGGGACATTTATTTCCTAATTAAAAAAAAAAAAAAGAAGTGAATTTAACCACTGCAGCAATGAATCTGTGGAACTAATTTTTGCCATCCCTTAGAAGTTTTAACTTAAAGACTAGATGTTTGTTTGCACTACACACCCTAGCCCCCCAAAATTTGAGGATCAATGGTTAACTCCTTTGTTTATGAAGACAGTGTGCTTAGACCATCGTATATGAATTCATAAGTTTGCATCCTGTCCCAGAAGACGTATCATGGACTCCAAAAGCAACCCCCATATGTTAAGTTTTCTCACATCAAGACAATGTGACTTTGAAGCAGAGAGCAAGGACAAAGCAGGGGAAAAGTGGAAGAATTGTCAGCTCATGCCTTACAGAGGCTCCCAGGGAAGGAGCAGGAAGGAAAGCAAAGGTTGAAGTTAAAAATTTAAACTACAGTTGAGGATTCTGCTACGGACACGTACAACCTGTGAGGGAGGGTGGCAACAGTAGCGTTCATGTGGGAAAATTTAATTAGCTCAGGTTTACTTAGAGAATTAATTAGTCTTTGCTAATTTTTTCCATGAAAATATGTTTTCTAAAGATAGCATCTAAATTTAATTTCAATACCAACCTCACTTTTGTGTATTTACTATACCCTTTTTTCCTAATTACAGGATACTGATGAAACATTTTGCAGTTCAGCATATCTGCTTCTTCAGAATGCAGACCTAAAGCACAAGCGACATTTACGAAATGAAACCCTGAAGGAGGAGGTAGCATGTGGTCACTCTTCCAACTGATTGCAGAAGACTTAAACAATCCATGCAAAGTCACAAGCTCCAAGCACCAAATATAGCAGTCATTTCAGGATTAATTAATTGAATATTGAGGAATATTTTGTACTTGCAGCCATACTGTGATTCTGAATTGGGGTGAAAACTTGAATGAAAATTAAACATTCCTGACGCAATATAATCAGAAACATCACAGCATCCTCTAAAAGAAAATTTGTGTTAGATGTGGTCATGTCAGAAGAATAAAACATCAAGGGTTCTTATGCGACAAAAAGTTCTAAAAGTAGGAAAAAGGAACCAGGACGATCACAGCACACAAGCTGGTGGGACACACCAGCCTTCAGAAGTAAAACAAATATCAGAGCAGACAAACGACATGGTCTAGTTAACTGTATTTTACTAAATACATCTATAAGAGCATGAAATGCTGCAACAAAGGTGGACAATGGGATTCTTAACATTTTCTGCAGAGACTGTAGTCTCAAAGCACATTATGAGCAATATTATCACCTGTACACAAAAGAGGAAAAATTATCAGTGTAGAAAGCTGAGACTTCTTACCTAGATTAAGTCCTTTGAAATGCAGAAAGGCTGTAAACCAAGAATTATTTACACCCTTCAGAATTAATCTCTTTGCTAACTGGGGCATGACCAGAACTGACCTCAAAGCAAGACCACTGAATGATGACAAATGGCAGAGTAGAATATATTTGGAGACATGGTTAACTATTGCTTGAAGCAAAAAATTGGATTTTACAGAAGTACTAGTGGACCACTTTGTCTTACACCTTTGGATCAGTAAAAAAAATAAACAGGGCAACAGAGAAACCATCCCCAAACCATCTTTTTATGGATCATTTTCATCAATAATGAAGAACTAATGATGTAAAGGCATTTTCAGAACATTATCAGCATAATACATAGACACATGAAGCAATATGAAAGGTGCCAAAAGATGCAGCAGAGATTCCAACACAGATACAAGTTTCAGGAAGACAGCAGCAGGTGGTAAGATCCAGCAAGGCAGGAAATCCTTGAGTAGCTCAATCAAGCTGTATCATCATTGCTAAGAATGTGGAAGGGAGGGGACAAATTAAGAGGTGCTACATGATGAAGTCCTCCGCAGTACAGACAAGTCCATCCAATACACTCAGAAAGCTAAGACATCCCTTAGGTTCAGCTATGTTATAGCTTGCTGAACGTATCAGCAAGGTGTAATGCAGTCTTGAGCAATAACCATGGCTGCTAACAAGGTAGCACATTCTCTTGGGGCCAAAGCATGCAAAGTGTAGCTGTGCCTTTTGTAATGCTGTACGCATAGAAGGCAGGAGTTTTCAATTTCTGTAGCAGGAGAGCACTTACCAACAAATTGATTCCAAGCTTTGACAAACTTGAGTTTTCACCCTATCCCTTTCAGAAACCTAGGGATTTCCTGCAGTTGTGAATTCCAGCAAAGTACAACAGATTATAATGAACAACAGTACCGTCAGTTTCTCTGCACCAGAAACGACTGATGGTGACTTCAGCCAGCTATGTAAAATGTGTGTCTATTCCTGTATGTACTGCACACAAACCAACCAAGAGGAAACACATCTTCTTCTTCTAGGGACAATTCCTGCAGTGAAAAACCCGATGTGCTAGGTCCAGCCAAAAGTTATGAGTGGAAACCGTATCTCAAAAACAAGTTAAATGATCATTTAGTGAACAAAAGGATTACCAGCACTCAAAACCGTGCCCGAATGATGATATGCAAATGTTGGTGCTCCTGCCAGGTCAGGAACTAATCACAAGGGATAGCTCTGCAGTTTGCCTTTACCTATCAATTTAAAGATAGAGGTAAGAATGGTGTACAAGAGATTTCAGGGAAGATCTGGACGCAAAAGAGGAGAAGCAAGTGTGATATCTGAAATATACATCTAATTGTCTACAAATGTCTTCCAGTGTATCTTGCATGCTTTCATTATGGGCAATATATTGCTGTTGGCCACAACATACTCAAACAACTAACATAAGTTTAAGTCTTCTGATCAGTAGCCCACAATCTTTTTTTTCTGAACTGCGAATATTGAATGCACTATTGCAAAATTGTATTTGTCATCGTGGAAAGGCAGCACCACTAAGAACATAATTATCATTACTAAGCTACCAGTTAGCCAGCAGCAGCACATCTGAACAAAAATCTATAGCTTTAGAAGCTTGCGAAACTATTAGGATTTGCTATCCCACATGATACCATCATTTGACATATCTGCCATTAGTTGACTAAAATAGGACTTGCTAACATGCAGAAATTAAACTTAATTAAACTGAACCAAACCCAGAAAATTTCTAAATGCAAACATGTGCCTGTAGGGCCTTTAGTATGTTCCTACGCTTTAGCTCACCCCTCTGAAAGTCAATACAGAAGCCAGATTTAAAATTATATAAGCTTTATACCTGGTCAATAAAGATCAGTTTTTCTAGATCACATCTTTAGAACTGGTTGTATAAACCAGGCCTGAGGGACCAGAGTTTTCTCCAAAAACCTCTGTTACTGCAAGTCATTACACACCGCACTCTTTGCTCGGGCTCTGAACTGAGCTGCAGATTGCTACACTGTGCCTAGAACAGCTCTGGACTTGTGACTGACCGCTGGAGAGCATTAGGGATGATAGTTTCTGACAGACCATCCCTCCTCCCACGGCAATATTAAAAGGAGGTGAATTTGTTCTGCTTCAGTTCACAAATATTCAAGATGCACATTTGCAAGCTTGTAAGTAAAGTAATGAACTGTCTCTTGGGAAGTGCTGCATCATGCTTTTGGTCACCCTCAAGCAACTCAGTTGCCATATCTCTCAGAGAGAGCATCTGGTTTGTCAAGGAGAGCATTCCAAGTTTAGAGCCATGGATGAAGTCCTTGCCTAATTCAAAACACACATAGCTCGTCACTGTTAATGCACTGCCTTCTGTCACTTTCTGACTACTGGATTTTCAGCCCTGATTATTTGGTTCAACAGAGTTACCCTTTATTACCCAGTGATCGCTATCAAAGCCTCCCTTGTGTGTGACTGAGCATGTCTTGTAGCACAGGGGCATTGTCAGCAGAGCAGTTAGCCTGATGGATATAAATAAAATACCTTCATTGCCATAAGTTCCTGCATCAAGACTGCATTTTCCAGGTCTAGCCTCTGGCTGTCTCCACGAGGTTTAACGTCATAACTAAGGGGATCAATGTGGATGCTTTCCAGCTCCAGCATTGTCAGTTTCACTGCTGCCCTGTCATTTTTCAACTGCTGGATGTAATCCTTCAGCCGCTGCTCATCCTCCTTTGTAAATTCTGTATCACAACTGCTTGCAGTTGAGCTGGTAGTACTGGAAAGAGAAAGAAAGGTATTAAAAACACATTTAGAACAAAATCCATATTTTTACATCAAACGCTCTCCCAAGACTTCATCAACACATCTGAGTCTGACTTAAAAGTTCATAGAAAGGACACACGCAGTATGGATTGGATGTTGTAATGTTCAGAAGATGCAGAAGGGTGTGACAAATTCAGAAAAGAAATTAATTCTCTAAGCTGCATGAGAAAATTGAATCATGTGATAACTTCTCTGCAAAGCCAGATATTTAGTGACATATAGCTGAATTACTTTTTCTGGAATGGTGTCTTCTGAAACAATTCTTTTTTTTAATTAAAAAACAAAAAAAGCTACTTAAGATTTCTTAGAAAAACCCTAGCAGAGCAAGCTTCTCTCTGCTGCTCAGCCACTGAGTCTTCATCTTCTTTGTGAAGAAGCATCTGCTAAGAAAAAAGAATCAGCCCAGACCTCATTTATCTCTGCTGATGGCAGTACCAGTTATCATCTCAGATATTTTTAATGGATACTCTCAGGAATCAACCTGAGCAAAATTCCACTGGCAGATGCCAGGAGGTAGCATCTTTCAATTCACATTAAGGTGTATTCCTCAGAACACTGACATTCCTTCAGGGCTGGAGGGGTTTAAAACCAATGCATAAGTTAGCAGGATTTTTCACAAAAAGTCATCATCAGAGTTGGTGGAACTTATCCTATCTATAGGCATCAAACAAATGACTGCCCGTCAGTCTGCCCCCAAAATGTGTACACAGATGTCGCAAAAAGGGAGAATTAATGTCTTAAAGCAAGAGTGGCTTGGTGCTGCCTACCCACCGACACGCATGCCAGTGCTGCAGGGGGCCGAGACCGATACAGCCATAGCATTCCAGGGCTGAATATAGTTGCAAAAACACTAAGAGGAAAATAAAATGCCGTGTTGTTTCTCTAACCTCACTCAAAGCTGCCTGCTGTCTCCTGAGGTCCTGTAATCAGCTGCCGGGTGAGGGATAAGTCATCCATTAACTGTGCTCGTCTGGAATGCTAGATGATCTCAGTTATCAGCAGGGGAATAAATCACTTTCTGTATCAAATTGCACTGCTGTTCAACATTTTTGTAGGAAGAAAAAAAAAGCTCCACCCGCTACACGCTGTGAGAGTCAAGATGATGTCCTAAAATATATTAAGCATGTGAAAAGGCGGAAGTCTCTCAAGATAGGCTTGATTTTTCGCTTTTCTTTTGGTTCTACTTCAGCTAAAGACACATTGATTTTTAAGTGCCTCAAATAATTGCCAATCTTCCCACAAATTCCAAGTACAGCCTTGGAGGAGATGGAGAATTGGCAGGTCTACAAAGATTTCTCAAAATCCTTCCCTCTCATGAAATATCACATTACAGTTCTTTACTACAGTTCTCTGTCAATTTCCCATTATTCCTCCCTTTTCTTAGGGATAATAGGTGCCATATTTACCCCATGTGTAAACCGGTCTTTGCTTGTTTTCATCCATTTCCATCTGCAGTGAAGCTAAAAACACCCAGTACCTACACCACACAGAAACCCCTTCAGGTTGAAACAAATTTTTGTTCATACTTAGTTCTTCATCAGAGAATCTTGAAACACTTAATAAATCCTGCTTTACTGAGCCTGAAGATACCTCTCTGAAGTAAATATTGATATAAAAACCATGGGGATAGACAATGTGAGAAATACTTAATTCTGTACTGAAGTCATGTTGCAAGTTTCCTCAGCACCCAAAGACAGCAATTGCACAGTTTTTCTGGATTAAATGTAAAACAGCTGTTGTTGGAGGAAGGACAGCTTTTAAAGCCTACATAGGCTTCAAATCTTGGGACACAAAGAGCTCATCTCAGTTTTCGCTTGCAAAGGAAAGAAAACCTAGCCCTCCTGCTGGGAATGAAACCTCAGAAAAAATGCCTATTGTTATGTTGTGTTGGACCTCGTACTCACTGGATATTCACAGAATTTGGCCCTTAAGGATCTGCGGCTACGGACGTATATTTTAGGGGAGAGCAGTCCAAGCTGAGGAAGGCAGTCTGGGCTCTTGCCAGTGATACTCAGGCTGCTTTTACTTCAGTCCTGGCTGCCTGCCTGACTGTCTGTCTGCAGCTGAGTTGGCTCCTCTGGTGAACTGCTAGCAAGCTGCTCTTCTTCTTCGTCTTTTTTTTTTTTCTTTTTCTTTTTTTTTTTTTTTAAGAAGGTGAGGGGAGCTTAGCGAGGAAGCTGTCTCAGCCAGCACACAAAGGTACAAGAACCTTCCCTCGCCTTCCAAATTTGGCAGCAAGCCCCCACCCAGAAACCTGGAAGCAGTATGGCTTGCAGAAAGCCAGGGTGGAAAGCCCACTTTGGACTGTTGCAAAAATAAAGCTGCACGATGAGGGACGGAAACAACGCTGCCATGCTTCTGAACTCCCACAGCACAGCTCTGCCAGGGTGTGTTCCCCGAAAAGCCCCACCATACAGCCCTCCTCAGCCATAATGCTAGCCTATTGCTGCTCTATTTAAGAGCCCACAGCTGGTGAGCATATGATCCTGAATTTCAGATGCTGCTCTCCCTCCTAACAGCAATCAGGACAAAGGAAAACAGACTGACAGAATGCATATGTAGTATAACGCACCCATCCAAAAACCGCATGAAACTGTTGCAAAAGATGTGCAGTTTCTCATTTCTCAAGTACGTAGGTAAGGATGGAGAAAGGATGACAACATCAATCTGCTCATTCAAACCACCGTTGTATTCAGAACAGCGAAGAGAAATATTCTTCCCACTCGCTTCATCCCTTAAGTCTTTTACAATGACTGTATGCCTGGATGATGCCAAATTAATTTTCATATACAGTCTGTGGAAAATATGCAGGTTGGTATACTATAACATGCAGTTTTATTTGCTGGCATGCATGTGTGTGTTTGCATGCACATATGTACGTGTAAAATGCAGTGGATGGATAGAAATGAGGCTTCCAACAGTGCCTCTGTGTGAGTAACTTTTGCACACTACAAAATTATGTCCATAAAACCCTGTATAAGCTTCAGTTCATCTGTTAAAAATCAAGTCAATAAATAAATAAATCTGCAACTCATCACTGGTGCAGATAATACAAAAGCTGATAGAACTGAAACAATGCTGTCAGAACTGAATCCACGAAACTTGCTTGAATGTCTGCACGCAACCTTACATTTTAAAGAATGCATTTGATACACAGTATAGATGGGCCAACCACCTTCTAGGTGAACGCTGTGGCTTGAGGTCTGAAACAGCAAAATGCCAACAGACACAACCTTCCTGAGAAACTAAAAAATACTCCCATCCAGCCGAAAGACAAACAACAGTGTATGTGGCTACAATCAGAACCTTTGGTGAAACAACCCTGCTTCTGTCTGAGACTCGCTCAGTCCAGCAATGAAGCGTTACATAGGTAACATTAAGATATCTGTCAGGATATTTCTAAATAACTTATTTGCACGCCTCAGCCAAGACAGTCTTGTCTGTCAGCTACTTATCTGAAATCTGAGGTGATTCTGATGCAAGATACAGTCCTACATTTGGCTGATATGTAACACTGCATAATACTGAAAGAAATTCCCTTTGCATATAAGAGACCAGCTCTTTCCCCCCATGAATCCACAGGTAAGGTTAGACTTACTAGCACTGCAGGGAATAAAATCCACCATTTTCAGTCAGTGTCACAACTGGAGCCTTTCTCTTTTGTCTCCCTCTTTTTAAGGTGCAATCAGTCAAACCTTGTTGGCAATATATGTTCTATAGTTAGCTTCTGTCCACTAAAATAATTATGACTTCCAACTACACTGCAGACCTATTTCTATTTTCAAAAAAAGAATTGGCAACGTTATTGTGCTGCGGCCAGCGAAATGAGTTGAGATGCTTGCTATTATTTTTATTCACCTCACCAGTAACAACCTCTGTGATGCTCTTTCATTGCATTTCATTTCTTTTCATTTCAGTTGCTCCCTTTTACAGTCTTTAACCACTTGTCACTAGTGGCTCACCAAGTATTTATTCTCAGTAATGTGTTCAGTGATTTGACATTCAGAGTCTCATTTGAAATGCCAAAGCTAAAGATGGGTCAACAATTCCATTATAAGTTCCTATTCTGCAGGATTTCGAACAGCAGGGAGAATTTCTCATTTGTCACAAGTCTCAGGAAAGGCGAGTTTTCATCATCCCACTACTTCTTTACTCAGTTGGTTTCAAAGCAAAAAGGTAGCGATACATAGCTGCAACTAAAACCCTGCAGCACTAAAACAGCTATGGCAAAGGATCAGTCTTGCAGATTCAGAGTATCTTTGAACAACATAATGTAAAAATGTTTTCATTTCAGCGCAGTGGTCCCCAAATGGTGGTTCACACAGCACTCACTAGTGATGTGGGCTTGTTCTACTCCCCAGTTTTATAGACTGCCAAGTTCTTTAAGACAAATAAAAAACATTAAGCCTGCAGGAACAGCTAGAAATCCACAGTCTGCTTTCCTGTCTCTGCTTGGATTGCTATTGTAATGGAAAAGGAAAGGAAATGGAAACCATCAACATCAAAGAATCATAGAGGGCTGGAAGTTTGCAGCAATGGCACATCTTTCTAGAGCAGCAGGGAGCCAAGTGGCAAGGCAGCATGCATAAATGGGTTGAGAGAGCTGGTGACATACGCAGGATAACTCCAAAAAGCAGGAGCAGGGTCCTGGAGAGAAACAAAAAGTATCCAAAATGATAGGGAGAGGAGAGTTAAGGAGAAAATCTTCAATTTTTTAAATCTGAGATAGAACATTTGCTGATATAAATACACAAAAAATGTGTGCCTTTCGAACCAACACAGATTTTCCATCTATGAGCTGGCACAGTGTAATGTGTCTGTAAGCTGAAGAGGGGATGCCTCTATTTTGAGACACGGTCCACAGGAAGGAGAAATCTGAAAACACCTCTACCACTTATCACTTGAACATGACAGAAGGAAAGAAGAGAAGATTCGTATTTCACGGAGAAGCTAAAGTTTCAGAATTATTTCCACTGATTGATATGTATCTTCAGACAATAACAAATTACATTGGGCATGGGGGGAGGGGAGAGGGATGAAAATGTATAAATGATGTTCAGATCAGGATGCTCATATGACAAGTTCCTGACTTGCTGAGTGCCCTTTGGGTGAGTGAGAGAAGCTTTTTTCTCTCACGTTCCACATATATCAAAGCTTATAATAATAATTACCTTGTTCAGTACAGTATTTTGCTCTGTGCCAGAAAAAATTATCCTACAATGATAACGACTCAATCTAAAACATCTCTCTTGCACACAGAAGCATTTACATTCGCATTTTTACATTTCATGACACAGTTTATAGTGATGAAATTTGAAATCCTATGCCATTTTCATCATACTCTGCTGAACTTTTACTCAGCCAACACGTTACGTGCACCCATACACATATTGCCAGCTGACCACCAAAAGTTCACCGTAAACAATGAGCATGAGGGATGATTCTCCTCCCCAAACACACACACTCCCTTATCCTCCCTCCCAAAAAAACCCAAAATGATGTTCAACAAAGCAAGGACTATAGAGACTAATATTCCTACAAAACATTTTCAGGAAAAAGCTAGGTATTCCTAAAACAGGAATACCACGACCCCATTCTCCCTTCATGCCCCCCGCCAATTTCCCCCCGTCAATACTAGAAACTATCTAAATTGCTTTCAAGAAAAAAAAAAAAAAAAGCCTTGACTACGTACCAGATATCTCACAAGGAAGAAAAAACACTGAGGTAGTTACGAACAATTGAAAACGACCCTTTCAAGTAATAGAATGGAAAACAAGCTCAGCCTAGGTAAAGGTGTTGCTACGTGTGGCCACTTACAACATGTTGACCCGCAGGTGTAGATATTGCATAAGTGCATACAGAATGAGACAAGTGAAGTATTTGAAACAGCTTCGTGTAACTTCTTTCCAAGGCCAGTAAATACTTATGGTACAACGAGTGATCAATGTGTTACTAGCGCAGATGCTGCCTCATTAATTTCTGAATAAAGATACAGCCTTCTTGGACTGAATGTCCACCATAGAACTTCTTCGAGTAAAACGCTAAAATCCACCTCACATTTGGGCCCTATTCCCTCAGGTTACCTTTTTGCTCACTTTTTAGCTATTCCATGCTAATCGCAAGGCAGGAAATAAGACCCTTTGGAGGAGGCATCAGCAAGAAGAGGAAATGATATAGTACTAAAATAAACTTCTAAAAGTGTCAAAAAATGACAGGAATTGAATAAAGAACTGGCTCAAAAACTGAATTAAAATGAAGTTTTAGAGAGAATCTGAGAAACCAAAATAACTTTTAAAAAGAAAAACATTCCTCTATATTTATCCAGGATGCTTGCCAAATTGGTATCCATACACAAGCACACATACTCACTGCACAGAGTACAATTACACTGCAGGCAGGCAACGACTCAAAATGAAGCTGCAAGCAGATGTATTTGAACAGGAACACTTCTGAATAATAGCTCATTTAAGTTTAATTATTTTATAGGTCTTCAGAAAAACTGCAATATCCAGCCTTTCCTGGAAGAATCCCCCCTGTCATGACGTTCATTTGCCACTCCATGTGCAAAAGAGAATAGCATGGGAAGGAAGAATTTGGAAGGGTGCAAAGGGGAATGAGAAAGGAGAGGAAATAGTTTAAAATGAAATGGCTAGATTTGCAACATTTAGAAAACAATTTCTGAGCACTCCAAAATGCTGACAGAAGCATACTTCTGATCTCTGGTTCTCCATACGTCTGCGCTGTCTGCATACAATAAATATGAATAAGAAGTACATGATCTGACTTCCAATAAAACAGCAAGAAAGCCACTGAAGCAAAACAAATGTAATGGTTTTGCCCTTTGTGAGGAAGATCAAAGTTCAGAGTCACCCATTTGCAACAAATTTATACAAAACGCTTCTTGGCTGGAGTTGCTCAAAGTCTAAAGACAATCAGACCACTGAGGCATGGTGACCTATAAATCAAAGCAAAGAAGCGACTGGACTGAGGTGAGGGAGGCAGTTCAGCAGATTGAATACAACACAACTTTTGGTGAGAAATCAGACACCTGGGGATTAGGGGAGCAGAGGAGTTGCAGTTACCTTGTGTGGCTGTTGGATGACAGGCTTTCCCAGGGCTGCACGCTACAGCCAGTGACAGCATAGGCTCCCCCGCAGCTCCCATCTAGTTTCATCAGTAAGGCTTTTGCTGCATTCTCAGCTGTCTTCCTGCAGTCGTGAGCTCTCTTAAGCATCTGGGTGATGTTTTCATCACCTGTCTGGTCCCCTAGTTTTCAAGCAAACAATCTGTTTCAGAGCTCTGAGGCGGGTGATAGAAATTACGGCAAAAGTAGAGATGCTTCTACGTGCTCTCAGTTTATACCAAGACGAGGACAATAAATTACCAGTCTGTAATGTAAAAGCAACTTAACCTCTGTGTGAGTATCAGTGGTAACGAGCCTACTGGCCTGAATGCATCTCCCTATCCAGCCACATGCTCCAGGTACTTGTTGCTCCATGTACATTAAGTGATGTTTTATCTCAGCTAGCTTGTCTGTTTGTAAGGGTGTGCATTGTGCATCAGGATTAGGTTAGGATGCTCTAATTAATAATACACTGGAAAAACCTCAGCCTAAATTACAACTCTCATTCCAATCAGTCCAGTGCTGTTTGACAGTGCGGTCATTTCCAGTGTTTTTTCTCACAAGCACCTTTATCTCAAGCCTAATGGTTTGCCAGAACACCTTCTTACAGGTTATCTTTCCAGTTGGAAGTATTGCCTTACTGCTTAGAAGCAGCATTTCAGAGTTTACAGCCATGTATACTAAATCAAAAGAAAACTAGCACTGGTGTTTATTAATTTGCTATTATTTTTTGTGGTTATGCTGCATCTATGCAGCTGGCAAGCAATCCCCTCAGCACAGGCAGGACAGAAAACACCACTGTCACTATTCTCTGTCCTAACTCCAGCTGGAATAGTCATTAAAATAAGACATATTAGTGGCTACACTGCAAGTCTGAACAAAGCTACAATATATTCATACTTCACCAAATACAATGCAAAGATGTCAGAGTATAAAAAAAATGTCAGATTTTCATCTCATCCTTATTTGAGTCAAAGACCAATTACCCATACTTCACACTTGCTAAGTGAAGTGTGTGCACTAGAAATAACATTAATGCGGAAGAAAGGATGGAGAATGTTCTGTCAAGAGCAGCTGGATATGCTCAGCATTAAGTGATGCAGAAGCAACTCCCATGAATTTTCCACTCACAGATGTTGATATAAAACTTGACCTATCTTCAAACCGAAAATCTGCTATTTTATCTAGGTGTTTTAATCAAATTTCATGGTGAAGTAAAGGTTCATAAACCAAACACAACTTCCTCCAAGCTGTGTTATATAATGGGAAATTGGCACTATTTCTATTGCAGGGGTGTAACTGATAATACCATAATTAAGAGCTGTAGACAGAGAGCTATATAAAAACTAAACTACGCTCTCTTTCATAAAATGCATGCAAGATGAAACCCTACTCAAACCCAACGTATTTCTCCCTTCTAAGATTTGTTTCTGCCAACTATGTGAAGAGAAAATCCAAGACTAGATTTACTTTTGTTGGCCACTGATCCCTGCCAGCAGGGAAAGCTCCCCAGCAAATTGTGGAAAGGAATGACCAGAGTCTGGAAGAAAGGTGAGTGAAAATCTCAGACACCCACTCTAACGTTTAGTGTACGCCACACACTGCACAGGCCAAGACAGGTACACAAGGGCCTGCTTCTAGCCCTGGGAGAGATACACAAGAAGGGGCATGGTTAGCAGCACAGCGGCTGTGGGCTGAGTGCATCTAGTCATCTAGAACAAGATGCTGACCATGTCATTCCCATGGCTCTAAAGCCAGACGGCCACTCTTGTCTCTAAAAGCTTTCCGTTTACATTTCAGTGATTCCTGAGAAGCTAATGCTATAATACTGTCTCAACCAGGCAGTTACTATGCCCCAGCACAGCACGAAGAACTATTCTTTTCTCTCTGAAGGTTTGACATCTTTCTACTTGAAGATTACTACAGCTATCTTCTCCTATCAGTAAAAGGAATGGGACTATAAAACCCAGATGAATGTTTACGGTGCAAACACCTCTTTCTATCAGAAAAGTGGAGCCAGCAGCAACATCAACCTCCAAACACTTCTGACCTGTACCCATGATAGTGGTTCGTTCCATTACTTAGCGAGCAGCATATTAAAAAACAACACCTAGCTACAAGATTAACTATCCACAAAATAAGAAAAACTCAGAACATATAGGCTAACATCCCTGCCAACACAGTAAAACATAAGATGGAATGTTTTTAAATTTCCAAGCAAAGGTAAAATGTGACGTGAAAAATTAGAACCATTTTGTTGTGGTTTTTTTTTTTTTTTTGTAACTACTCAATGCTACCTTTGTACTGTCTTAATCACAGTTTTTCATAGACTATACTCAGCTTCTAGGGGGGTCAATGTTGCTGGTTCAAACAAAATCTGTACTTGCAGTTACTACAGCTGTATGGCCCTAAGCCACATATGCTTATAAGTATTGTTTAATAACTTCACTCTGTACAGCTGCATGCCCGTAGCAGCCTCACCACTGCCAGAAGAGGAATCCCTTTGTGATAGCATATGTAGTTTAATTTAAACTGCTGGTGATTTTTATGATTTAGTGCCAGTCTCTATTTTTCTTTTCCCCTATTTTTTTTTTTGTGTAAAATGATTTAATTAGTTAAAATGAGAGAAGACTAGAGAGCATTCTTAAGTGATGGGTCACGAGATGATTCACCATTACAACTAACTCAAATGCTAACTGACATGCAAAAAAAAAAATTTAAATAAAGTGATTCATTGACATCTTACCAACAGAACCAACACCTGCAGCTCTGAACTGCCCAAGAATGAGACTCTGCTCACTTTCTGCCAATGCCAACAGCAACTCATAGGCTTCTATGCATTGTTCACTGAAAGAGAAAACAAACCACAGAAAACAAAAATCACACAAAATATTCCTGCAATTGAGAGGGGAATTATACCTGCAACAGAATAACAGCAACAAAAAAGAGGTAGCTGACGAACTGTGTGATTCCCTACTAGTTCTCTAGCAGCAGGGATATTAAATGACAAAACACACGTAGCTTCTATCACAAGCATTCAACAGTCTCTCCTTCCTTATGATGGTCCGCAGCTCTGCACCAAGTAATGTAACAAGTTAAAACAGAAGAAAACGACCTGATGTGAAGTGAGCTCCAGAAGCATGTTTGAAACAGTCAACGTTATGAATGGCGGTAGACATGATCCCTTTGAGAAACTTTTTTCAGGCCTTCTTACTATACAAAATACAGTATTCTATACCCTACTATGTAACTATACTATACAAAGTATAGTAAGAAGAAAAGAAAAGACAAGAAAAATCCTTGTTGCCCTGTCCTGGCTGTAAAATTTTCCTCATAACACCACAACAGCTTCTAAATACAAGTGGCTGCGTGGTCCTAGTTGCCGGCTGGGGTTAAACCACCACAACAGAATACATTCTTTAAAAGGCACACGATTTGCCTGAAGACCAGAACTGCCTGTTCCAAATTAGTTGCAGCCGAAGGAGTTAAACGACACCATCTTTTTACATATAATTTAAAGCAAATTTAGAAACTTGTAATCAAATACCAAGCAATTCACCCACAATTCCAACTGATGTATTATAAAGTCACTCTGAATTTTGTGGAGTACAATACTACACTGGTCTTGTGAAAGATGCCAGCCTAATACAGAGAACCTGTATCTTAAGACCAGATACAGCAGAGAGATTTCGAGCCTACACACAACTCCTAATTCAAAAGTTAATTCAGTATTTGAAAATTAAAAGATAATCTGTTTATTTCTATCAGATTGAGTTCACTACTGCTGGTGAACTAGGGTTGAAATACACTGGCACCAGTAACTTCAGTTCTGTAGTTTGTCAAGTAGTTTAGCCCAAGGGGCGTTTTTTCAGGGAGGAAACAAAAAGAAACGGTATTACTATGGCACACCAACAATTTCCCTCTCAAAGACTTCTATCAAGTCTCCCCTGCTCCCTCTTTTTCTGTCTGAGACACCCTCTGCATAGGTACATACCTGTACTGAAGTGCAAGCCTGAGGGCTGTGGCATTGGACTCGTACTTCCCAACAAGCATGCTCATCCTCTCAGCATTGCTCTTGCACTCTTCCAGTGTTATCGTCAACAAGTCATTCTGGGATTTCAGGTGCTCAATACGGCTGTAGAAAAGGAAGTAATTTGCAACTTTCAAGCTTAGCTGGCAGGCACTGTCCTGAAAACTCTAGAATAACCATAATTTAAAACAACAAATGCCATTTGGTCTACGCAAGGTTTTTAATGAAGTTGACAAAATCTATCAGTTCTGTGTCACATATCAAGAGCCAAGACGATAGTAATTTCTCTTAGGACAGCTTCTTCTCCTTCTCCTCTCCTTCCCATAAAATGTAATCACAACCCTGCGCAACAGCAGCAAGCAGAAAGCTGTACCCTTACTTTGTAGCTGCAAGACTGTGTAGGACAGTATCATATTAACCTTCTGCCTCCATTCCTCACTTCCTCCTGCCACATTTGCTTCTTGTTTTAAGTGGCATATTCACCAGTGCAATGTATGGGGGTGTGTAGGGATCATGCAGCTGCATAAATACCCCGTTTCTTTGGAACATCCAGAATAACCCTTTCACTTGAAGTAATATTTTGGTTGTGATTAGAGAGGTAACATCGAAAATACAAAGTTTCAATGAGGCAAAGAAATCTCCAAAAGTTCTGGCAATAGTCAAACAGAAGCTCATACCAGAACTTGATTTTAATATTCTTCTCAATGAGGTTAACTCTGAATCTGAAAATGAGGCTTCAGAATATCAGTATTACAGTGTATTCTCACTGCTGATGACTGCACTACACATTAACTTACTACACCTCATTGTAAGAGTTGGACATATACTGAAAAGAGGCAGGCAAATTTGTACAGGTAGCAAAGGAAGAAATCAGTGCCATCCAGAACTCTAAACCACTGACTTCTTAACAAACACAAGAAGAAGGGCTAGTACACCATTTATTCAGCAATCATAATAAAGCCCTGACTTTCCCAGCCGCTAGAACTCTCAGATGCTCCACCTCTTGTATCTTCTTTGACACCTCCTATAAGGACACATGCTGTCAAAGCGTAATTGTGCAGTGCACAGAAAAAAGAAAAGGGGAAAAAAAAAAGAAAAAAACTAACACATTTTGCAGCACTACAAAAACATGAGCTACAAACAAAAGAGATATTGTACTAATCAGACGAGATTTGAGATAGCCGTGAGGAAGAGAGAACTTGGAAGGAAACATGCCACGGCATGACTCTCACGTTCCTGATCCACAGTTTTGATTTTATGTGCTAAAAAGGACAGGAAGCATTGGTTTTGCTAGAGCTTACTGAAGGATAACACCAGCAGTATTTTAACTCCACCAGAAAGCTGCAATCTCTCTTCTGCAGACAGAAGTCTATTTACTGGTACATACGCCAGACCACCATACATTCATTGGTACAGTTAATGCTATAATTCTGTTTCTTCAAGACAAAACAAAGCAAGCTAATTCCGGAATGATGGAGAATAAATTATGGGAATCCTTATTTCTAGCAGTGATGTGTCTTACGAAAAAGGATGCCATGCCTACTTCGTCAGCCATTGAGAAGGACACTCTGCAGTGCAAACTGTAACAGGTGAAGGTGCCATGCTGATCTAACAATGCATGATCAAGCTGTCATACTAATGGAAAGAATCCTTAGCGTACGATTCAATCTTCTCTTTATCAAGTACATTCCATGTTTATCTGCAGCTGCCACAGTTGAGCTGGGCCTGAACTAAGAAATGTTGAAAAAAAAATAAAAAAGTAGTAACAAAGCTAATAACAGACAACACATTTGAGCATATCTAACTTTCCACCTTACCTATTTAATCTCTCTGTCTCCACTTCAAACTCTCGGATTTTACTTTCAGAGATAGCAGATCCATGTGAATAAAGAGTCTGGAAGATTTCCTGGATGTTTGAGCAGTCTTGGAGGGAATGTGCCAAATGTTCAGCCACAGTACTAGACACCTGCACAGGGCAGTTAATAGATTATTGTGAACAGATACCCACTGGATTCCTCCCACAGGCAGCCTTCATTGAGAGCTGCCTTTGCTTGCATGCACTCACTTCAAGGCACTCATGATTCAGTTTTTACCACGAATTTTACATCCAATAGAACATTTATAAGTTTCCACTTTAAGAAGCTATTTTGATTTAAAATTCTACTAACCAAAGGGTGAAGCCCACTATTTAATTGTACATTTAAAAAGCAAAACCTCAGATCTAAGTGCTGTGGTGAAACAAATATTAACACGCAGTAACAACAGCGTTAGGGATTTACATTGGCATTACAAAGCAGAACCCAGTTCTCTGTTGATTAAAGTTGTGAAATGCAACTGAACAGTCTTTTCTTGAAGAACAGTATTTTGGAGGAATTGTCTCCAAAATTATCCTCCTGAAGTCACTCTGAGAATGATTTCTAGCCACTAGTTATAAGAAAATGAGATCTTAATACTGGCTGAAATATTCTCTGTTGAAGTATTTTTCTCAAAATAACTTTTAAAGTATTTTCAGTTAGCTCATATATAAATTTAGTCAAAAAACAATGCTGCTTTTAATGGAACACAAGTGATCTTCAGAAGGTATCATGCTTGCACACAATTACCAGTCCTTACCCCTATACTGCTGATTTCTGATCCTAAGACAGGTCTATCAGATGATGAAGACTCTGATCTTGTCTTTGACAACTTCACTCTTTCAGCAATCTGTAAGTCAGAAGGCTGCACAGGTTACAGGAACCCACGCTCCATAAAGATTACACAAAATGCATTTGTTCAATAGCTGCGCTTGCAAACTTGAAGTAAACTACTGTAACGATGACACCTGTGTTGTAACTGCGAGAATTACAATCATTAGGTGCTTAATTCCTCTTCATGGGCCTGCTCAGGACCGCAGAAAACTCGCTGGGGATTCTAGATATCTCCCAGTTAATCACAAGTTTGCACAGCAGCTGTGCAAAATGAAGCCTGCTTCTCCCAGATAATGAGAAGCGTTACTGCAACGCACAATAGCTCACCTTGGCGATGGGAATGTCATTGCTACTGCTGCTTGTGCTCAGCTCTCCCGTGCTGGGGTTAATGGGTCGATTGGCAGAAGTGAGACGACTTGGGCTGGATGGGCCTGTTGCCTGCACGCTTTGCAAACGTGTTTGCAGTTCCCGAACCTACAACAAAACATAAGGTTCTGTTTTTTTCCACTTTTACGGTTTGAATAGTTCGGAGATTTTCTCATTGTCTAGCCAAGCTTAATTGCTTCTGGCTCAAGCGTAGAAGTTGTATTTTGTGCTGTGGCGCCCGTCAAGTTTTCACATGGGGAGCAGATGAATGGAGGTTGTTTTAAAATTCTACTGTCAGTTTTTTAAACGACTTGCAATGTGGAAATATGCAAATGTAATACCGTAGAGTAATTACTCAAAGTTTCAGCTTGTTTTATATAACACTTTCAGTGCAGTTGTACTATATGTATAGAAATTATTCTCTCTGGGGTGAAGCTAATGCTCCAGCCTAAGATTGTGACACCTGAACAAATCAAAGATCCTGCTGCTAATGGAAAGCTCCAGTGTTGAAAAAACCCTTGACATAAATATATCACAAGATGACTTTGTCATATTTAAAGGTCAAAGAAATTCAAACGTTAATCATGCTTTCAAAACTACAGTTAAGTAAAGCTACCATATAATGAGCAATGTACAGACAAGAAAATACTGGCAAAGTACCCAGACAACAGACTGCAGAAGCTCTCTGTAAACATACACTGCAAACACTGCATGGTCCTTAGAACACAACAGATTCTTGTAGAATTGACGTCAAAAGATTTTCAGGACTAAAAGGTGAAAAAAAAAAAAAAAGTCTGGAGGAGCCAAACTATAACTGAGCTAAAGATTATAGTGTTTACCTTGCAATAATTCTTAACAGACGAAGAATAAACGGTCTGCTTAACACAACAATTATGCCACAAGGTAAAGTGACAGAGCTCATTTTTCCCACAGAATCTCAAACAAAGAGTGTGAGATGAGAGAAGGGGGAGGAAACCATCTGAAGAGGAAAATTCCCCGAATATAGAGTGTTTACTTTTATACACGAGTTTCCATGCCAATTTTGCTGGAATAGTCCCTCTGCAAAACAGGACTGGTGAAATTTTACCGAAAAGTCCAGTGAAATAAAAGTTCAGCCCATTTGATACCCCCCTGTACCATGAAATGCAACTCTGATTCCTACTCTTTAAAATAAGGTGGGAATTTATGCTAAATACAATACATTTACACAAAGAACTGATTAAACAAGCTGAAATCCCTCAGTCAAAACCCATCAAAATTAAAGTTGCATTAAAGCTTAGGCTTTCTTCAGCTATCAGCTCACCATGTGCTTTAGCAATCTCTGCTTGAAGGAGCGGCCGTCAGCATGTTCTCTGCACAACACATACAGATGCCTTCAACCTATTACAATGAGGAAAGAGTTCAAGCTGGAACTCTTTCCAGTCACCAAAGCAGTATGTTATGCCTCCTATGATCTCTTACAGTCTGCTTCTACTTCCCTAAAGACTAATCATGCCTCTCCCCAGTGGTATGCAAACTGAGGGTCAGGTTGCCCGAGGACTTACTGTCAAAATAACAGAATTTTTAGGTATGTGCAAATTATGGAAAAGAAAGAAAGCTCATGTGTTTTACATAACAGAGCAGAACAATTGCCTGTTACTAATAAAAAGCTGTAGGTGGCAACAATAAGAGCATATAAAGGCTAACTGCACTCACAACTTCAGTTGTAGAGGAGTGCTACACCTTAAAGAAAATGAATCCAAACAACTCCATTGGTCTCCCTGTTAAAAAAAAGGATAAAGTACACAAAACCTCAAATCAAATCCCCAATGTTTAAAGTAACTTGCTGAAAAATGGATATGGGTGCACCCCAGAATTATACATCTTAACTGTAATTACATCATGAAGTTAACTGAGCAGAGTGTATAAAGTGCACATTCATAGCATGTATCTTCTACCTATTTGCAGCTGAGGCCTCATTTGTTCATATAGACATATATAATTTCAACATGGGTACAGCTGCACTAATGCAAACCTTAAGGACAGAAGTGCTCTACTGAAGCAAACCAATCATTTCAGCCTGCTCTTATGCATAAGACTGAAATAAACCATGTATGCATGTTCCTGCTTGCAGATGCGGAATGCCAGTGCAGATAGGATTTGTACTGTGGCATTAACGCTGAAAAAAAAAAAAAAGCAACCCCAAAAATTCATTAAATCAAAATCACATTTATTACTATTTCTTTTAACCTGAGCTGTTCCAAATTAAATTCCCCAAGTGCTTAAGTTACAGCCTTGTTTAAAAGCAAACAAACAGGAAAGCCACTAGGGATGTATTCTTCATAAAATCAAATCCCTGCCTCAACATCTGACTTAAAAACTGCTAAAATATTCACCTGTGCCCGGAAGCTAGTCCTGGAACATTTCAGTCCAAAAGCAATTAACATTTCAAATTTAAGGGCAACCAGGAAACAGGGTGTTAAAGTTGCTGAAAATGCTAAGCATTCATTGGCTCCAAAGTTTAAAATGACCTTATGTAAGGACAATATTATATAAAACTGTAATAATGCAGGTTTCCTTTAGTCTATGTTTTATTATTGAGCAGTGACTATTGGCCATGATTACAAAGCCAATTATTCTCAAGGATCTGTAAAACAACATTAGCAACAGAAAGAAAAATGAACACAGCTAAGGCCGTAGCAAGGCAAAGCTTTACTCAGAAAAGCATTTATAAAAGAAAACTCAGAGCACAGCAGTTATCGATCTATGCAAGTCTCTGCTTTAATACTCTACCACAGAAGCTACTGCAACTTAAAGAAACTGCCTGCTTATTCATGCTTCTTCATGTATTTACCAATTCAGGCCTTCGTTTGAGAAATTACATGCTGAATTAATTGCTATAAATAACTGCACTAACTTTAGCAACACTGCGGGCTGGATGGTAATTCTGAGCAGGATAACAGGGCAAGTTTGTCTGACCTGTAAATTCACCGACCTCACAATTCACGCATTCACCAAGCCAGAGCTCATGACTGGGTTGCCCACCCACCAGACTGCCCAGAGACAGCTTAGGTAACTATTTCTGGTCTCCAAAACCTCCACCGTAAATAGAGCAGTATGCGCCACCTCCTCAGAAAGTACTTTTCCACACTAGTTGTAATTCTACAGGAAAAATAAAGGAAGACCAATGAACAGGAATCAAGGAAAAAAAGAGTTCAGAAGAGCCAGTTTTTTCTCTGGATCCCTGAGTGTATGAGTTATGAAAAGACTAGTTTAAAAAGAATGTTTAGAAATTGTCTGAACACCCCTGCTCAATACTTCTACCAGTCTTAAGTGTTGTTACCAACACGATATAAATTATTCTGAAGGTTACGCTTATTAGTAGAATGAAGGTAACTGCAGCACTGCACATGAGACACAATAAAAAATTGGAAATGGGAGAGAGAGGAAGTGCAGATCTTACCAGAAATGGATGACAAAATTGGCAAAACCTGATGGGTGAAGACAAGCAAAGAAGCAAAACCAAAAAAAGTTCCACCGAAAGACAGGAACACGTGGATTTGTGAGTTGGGGAGGAATAACAAGGAAGGATTTAAAGAAAGATTTCTTCAGTTTTTGCATCGTACCAGTTTAAAAACGGAAACACCCAGAAAGACACAAAAATTGCCATAAAGTTTTAAAACGCTAAATTGAGATGGAAAGTGGCCGACGGGCAGATCTAATTATATGATCAGAAAAAAAAAGGAGGTAAGAACAAAGGAAAAAAGGAGAAATCCAGGGAAACATCTGTGAAATCCACAATTAAAAAAAAAAGGAAGGAGCAAAGATCTTCTAAACAGCTGGAGGAAATCCAAAGAATTACAGAAGTAAAGAAGTGCTGGAACCTTGGAAAGAGCAGGAGCAGGGACATTAAGTGAGACACAAGGCAACAGATCCATTAAGACTTCAGAGCAATGGATAGCCTAGATACCAAGATAAGACAGATGCAAACAGATGTTCCCAAGTTATTAATATAAATGTAAATAACTGGAAATTTTATTTTTTAATATTCGATATTTAGCAATAAGAACCAATTGTTTAGCTGCATTTCTAGTTGTTTCCTTTGAATGCTGAGAATTGCAGTAGGAAATAGGGAAAAACTAAAGCATAATTTCTCATGGGTACCTTAAGAACTAAATAAAGAGACAGCAAGGGTAGAAAAGAAAAGGGGCCGACACACTACAGCAATGTTGTATTTATGAAAAGAGTTTGTAAGTGATTGACAGGCATCATGGACATGTTTGCAGAAATGCATAGTGGGTTACAGACAATTCTTCAGCAGAATATGCTCGTTATCTGTAATCATGAATCCAAGAAGTATGTTTTCACCCTTTGTATGTTATACATGCATATGCACAACTACATGATTTGTTAACATATCCTAAATAAAAAACCACGGCTACAAACTGCCTGGTTTTGTCACTGATTTCCACATTCAAAGGACACCTGCTGCTTTTGTTCCTAAACCAGTTTCAAGTAAGGAGCACGCCTGTGAGTCTTTTCTTTCTACCCTACTTGTGACCTGTTTGATCATGCACTATCTTTGAACCCTGCAAGTAATAACAGTTCTTTTCCCAGCATTTTAATACCACCGCAATTTTTTTCCCCCTGTTATACAGAGGAGGAAGATGAAGTACCCCAAACCACAGGAAGCGGATATACCTCTCCCACTTTCTAATTTACTCATGCATACTGCAGATCTGTAGAGGGGAAGATGGAAAATGAAATACCAGTGTGACTATTCAAGCTGTTCTGAGTGGTGAGGGCCCTTCCCAGCCTAAAGCCCCTGAAACCTTTCAATCAGGCCTAGTGGTGATTATTTTCAGCCACTCTTAAATCGTGAGCACCAGAGTGAACAAGGTCTGATTTCCTACAGGTTGTTATGGTTGACGGAGTATGGTAAAGAAGTTTTTCCTGGTATTTATAAGGGCCATCTCCTCCATGATTTCTCTGGAGCTGAATGAGCTTAGACCTGAACTCATCAGTTCAAAGGAGGCGTTAACAGAATCTCTCTCCTCACTGAAGGTATCTACTTTTAAGAAATACATAAGAACTTAATTGTCACTAGGAGTGCTACTCCTCTGGCAGAT